TATATTTTACTTAATGAAAAAGAAGCCTATTTCTACGACCATTAAGATTTGTTTTTACACATTTCCTCCAAAATTCTTAATACTCAAATGCAAAATAATAATACAAAAATTTTAAATTAATTTTATAATTTTTTTTATTATATATATATATATATATATATATGTGTGTAGTACTGCTTTTAATTAATGGTGAAATTTATGGAAAAAATTATAGTGTAATACAATATATTTTTTTAAATCTTTGAAAAATTATGGAAATTATTCTTAGAAAAAAAAAAAACAAGAAAAAAGTACAAGAAATGCAGACAAACTTGTCGCGAAATGTCACGCAAGAAACTGAAAACACAGCAGTTCAAGCCACTATTGATATCTACAGTATTTTAAGCAAGACAACACAAGAAAGAGATCTATGTGCCTCAAACCCTGTAAAATGTAAATCTTGTAAATCACAAGCACCAAGCAGAGCAGCATTATATTGTAAGCACAGACATGTGGAAACTGTGCTTTGACAATCTTGAAATCTAGAGTTGCACCATCCTGAACTCAGATGACACTGAATGCTGTATTTTTAGTTCCTTCACTGCCAGATCAGTATTTAGATACTTAGAGAGGAAACAGCATCCCGTCTGCCCAGCTTAACCTCATTCCAATCTGTTTAGCATGTGAACAAAAGCCATCCAAACCTGTGCCACGCATGCAGGTAGAAAATAAAGGTACTTTGAAAAGATCTTGCTGAACAAGAACTGTTTTTCACAGTATGGGTTCTTGAGTTGCTATATGGTTCTTTGGATATAAAAAAAAAAATTCATAATTGGTTGTTCCAATTAATGTTTTCCTTTTCCTTTTATTCATTCATTTATTATATTTTTTGTATATTTTATATATGTTTTATCATTTGTAAAAATATATATATATTATTATTTTGCATTTTGGTATTGAGCATTTAATTTAATATATTATTTATATATTATTATTATTATTTTAAGTTATTATTATTGCTGTTTTTAAAAGCTAAAGCAAAATACCAAGAAATGTATTTAAATATATTTTATTATTTTTATATATATAAATAAATGTTTTGGTATTTTGCTTTACATTTTAAAAACAATAAATTAATTAACGATAAATTAAACTAATTGATTGATTGATTGATTGACTGACTGACTGACTGACTGGATGGTTTTAAGGTGTAAAGTCTTTAAAGTCAACATGAAACAAAATAAAACAACCTTACTTACATCATGCAACATTTTGAAATTGAACTACATACATTGAGAAACTATTTAAACAAACATGATTTTTCATAAGAATAATGTGCACCAATAAGCTGTTCACATTAAGACCAGGAATGTGTATTAAAAAGCAAACAGGGTTAGTTCTGATTTCATGCTGACTTTAATATTTCAACTACTTTAATGTCTAAAAAGCTGTTAACATTGAAACAAGGTTTGTATCCCGTTTAAACTAAAGGCATGACATCAGCTGGAAAAGTACGTCAAGTTAATTGAACATGGCAGTGTGCAAGAAATGGAAAGAAATTCTCCATTTCATCCACATCTGTTGTGTGTGGAGCGAATGGAGGGAAGGGAAAATGAAGGGTATGGTGTGATGAACGCTGAAAAAGTGGAGCTAGACGTTTTCTGGGGCAAACCTCCAGAGAGACGCGCTATAGCTCACAAAGCGCTAACACTCATTTCAACGCTTTCTCTCCTTCACACTCATTATATCTGTCCTTGTGAGTGTTTACCTTTCCAAAATACATGATAAATATTAATGCAAAAATAAAACAAAAATTCATTTACACCATAAAGGCTGACAGCATGCAGAAAAAAAAATCTGTTTTTAAAGGAACAGTTCACCCAAAAAAACTAACAATCTTTCTAACAAGTCGTGTCAAAAAAGCAGCGTGAATTTTCTGTTCCACAGACGAGAAAGAAAGCCATACAGGCTTCAAACGACACGAGGGTGAAAAAACAATGACAGAATTTTAATTTTCCGACGAACTGTTCCTTTAAGAAGATTTGTTGTTCCCCCCAGGGGATGTTTTACAATGCAGCAGATCTCAGAGAATCAGAGGGGATTCTGGGACACCAGTGCAATGATTCACTGTTGCGATCCTCTGCTGTTTGAACTGCATTAACAAGCGTATAGCGTACGCACATACATATTTATAAAGCGGATCTAAAATTTGACTAAATCCGAAAAAGACAATGCAACATAGGCGATATAGACAAATAGCCAAAACAGATGCTCGCCAATTCTGCATTTATTTGATCAAAAACACTGTAAAATTATGAAATATTATTACAATTTAAAATAGCTGTTTTCTATTTGAATATATTGTGAAATGTAATTTATTGCTGTGAGCAAAGCTGAATTTTCAGCATCATTACTCCAGTCTTCAGTGTCACATGATCCTTCAGAAATCATTCTAATATGCTGACATGTACATCACATCCATATTTATTCTCCTCCACACTGCAGCAGCATTCATCTGCATGTACAGACGGCTCTACCCGTGACTCAGTCTTTCCAGATTAGTTTCAGATGAACCTGACCAACTCCAGAGTAACTCCTCAGCATCCAATTACAGAAGCAGAGCAACCGCTAGGGCCTCTCATGCATTAATGCACAGGACAGCAGGCTTCAAAGTTAATGTATTCATCCATACTTCAAAGCAATTCACAGTACGCTAGGGTGGGCGGAAGTCTAACCCTCGGGCCGTCCGGGTTTAAGTGCCTTATTCAACAAAGTTGATCCAGCAAGATTTACATCACAGCATTTCTACAGTCTGTGAATCATTTCCAAGTTTGTTTTAACTGCCTTCAAGTAATATTCTGGGTTATTAACAATTTAAGCACAACAATGCTGTGGAATACCAAAGAAAATTATTTGTCGCTTGATGAAAACAAGCAGTACTGCAATGAAAACACACAATTAATATATAGGTAACACTTTACAATAAAGTTCCATTTGATAACATTAACTTAACATGAACTAAAAACAAATACAATGTTAATTCCAACATTTACTAATACATCATTAAAATAAAAAGTTATGGTATTTAAGGGACCTAACATGTACTAACAATGAAGAGTTGTATTTATATTAACTAGAGATAAAAATTTGTAAAAAATATACATTTGTGGTTAATTCAGGATATTTGGGCCATTTTTTCTGTCATCTAAATAGCAAAAAGACTCCCAACTTACTTGAATTCACCCCAGGGCTCGCAAAATTTCAAAATCGCTGGTAGCCCTTCGGGCAGACATTCTTCAGATTTTGGTAGCCCGAAATGAATTTAAGTAGCCCGAATATAAAAAAAAAAGACATCGGCTGAAATTCACTGCGGACAAATCAGCATGATTAAAAACTTAATTGATCGCTTTTTTTCTTCAAATAACAAGTCAAGAGAGTAGGGGTGCAACGGATCACAAAACCCACGGCTCGGATCATATTGCATTATCATATCAGATTTTGAATAACAGATCGGGTCATTTTGCAGATGAGCAAAAAAAATATGGTTCTTTATTATTTAAATAACAGAATACTTATTTGACACCACAGCAAAAACTAGTAGCATATAGGGATGTAACGATGCACTCAACTCACGATGCGATGCGATTCACGATACTGATTTCACAATACAATTTTCTCACAATTTTTCTTTTTAACAATGAGATCTAAGACAAATTATAAATGAAAAAGTGTCCTTTTATTATTTCTCCAACAAAATGCTGCACATTTCTTTGTGAAATTTAAATATGTCAAATAATAAAACTAACTTAAAATTTTAAAACAAATCCCAAATCAAAT